ATGCCATCAGCACTCCTAATTTCATCTCATATCAAACTCTCTGACCTCATCCTGAGCAGATGCTTCAGCTCTACCCTAAATACCCATGATTCCCCTCTGATCTGCTCCCAGAGCTCCTCCCCTAACCAATCGCGCTGCACCACAACACTTGGCACTTCAAATTTCTTAAAGGATGCAAGAAAGTGAGGGAAAGACAACAAAAAGGAAAATGTGGTTGGAACGGAGCGAGAGGGAAAAGGGGACAAGAAGCCACTCTGCAGGGTGACCCCATCACGGTGGCCTGAGGTGGGTAGGGCTTCCCATCGTCTCACTCTGACCAAACCCACCGAAGAACTCAGTCAACCCGCCCCACCCCAGCGCTACCCAATCGCCATGCGGCTTTCGGAAGCCCCCGGCGTCTCAGCCTGTGGCCCCTTAATCCAGTGTGACAAGGAGAAAAAAGCTGCAGCAACAGCGTTACCATAGCAATGGGTGGCATTGGCGTAAAGCCACACAGGAGCATGGCATGGCCAGAACATGTGCCAGAGATGGCATATGAAATAAGGAACTGGAACTCTAGACAGACATCCAGGCAAAACTCTGTAATAAATGCACCCAAAATAAACCTGCGCACCAAAAACGGCATCACAAAGTGCATGAATTGACGTAAATATAATTAGACTGAGTGTTTTCTGCAGATGAGGCATTTGTTGTAGTCCCGTTTAAATGATCAGAGCTTGCATCTGTAGAGGAACACAGGGAGGGTTTACTAAGGCGCACACATACACACAAACAGACACACACAGGGCTTCCCAGAGTCAAAAAAACATTGGTTATGCAACACTGAAGCCCCTGTGCTCTCTCTCACCCTCTAAATAGCTCAAGCCAAGCTAAAAAAAAAATTAAAAAAAACTAAATAAACACACGCACACACACACAAACACACACACGCATGCACGCACACACGCACGCACACACGCACACACGCACGCACGCACAAAGTGACCAGTTCAAGTAAAGTAAGGTTTTTGCCCCAACAAAACGACTTGAAAATTCACTCAAAAATAAATACATAAAATGACAGAAATTAATCTATCAACACTTGATCGTCATGGTTGTTTAAAACCAGTTTGCCTTTTTCACAAAGCCCAAAAGAAGATACTCTGGAAAAGAAATTGTCCCCAACATGGGTTTGACCAATACAAACAAAAAGATTTGGACGTTTGGAATGACTCAGTTTTTATTTTTGTGTGAACCAAATTTCTCCTGTTGGCTTGATTTGCTCTTTGTCTTTGTTGTTTTATTATGACAGTAAATCATTAGCAAACTTCGAGAGCTTGCAAATCTAAATGTGAGAACTTGTGATAATAATATTTGTATTTGTACAGTTGAAGTCAGAATTATTAGCCCCTCATTTTTTCCCCAAAAACCATTTATCATTTCTAATAACTGATTTATTTTATGATTATTATGATGACAGTAAATAATATTTTAATAGATATTTTTCAATACACTTCTATACAGCTTAAAGTGACATTTAAAAGGCTTAACTATGTTAATTAGGTTAACTAGGCAGGTCAGGGTAATTAGGCAAGTTATTGTATAACGATGGTTTGGTCTGTAGACTATCAAAAAAAAATTATAGCTTAAAGGGGCTAATAATTTTAACCTTAAAATGGTGTTTAAAAAATTCAAACAATCTAGTCGAAATAAAACGAATAAGACTTTCTCCAGAAGAAAAAAATATTCTCAGACATACTGTGAAAATGTCCTTGCTCTGCTAAACATCATTAGAGAAATCTAAAAAAATTATAATAATTTAAAGGGGAGCTAATAAATCTGACTTCAACTGTAGGTTGAAATTCTGACATAAAAAGCTGAATGTCTTGATTTGCACACACAGACAATCATCAAAACGCCTGCATTTTAAATTTGAAGTTGCAGATTATTATTTATGTATTTGTAAAATGCCATTCACAAATAAAAAATGGTACACGTGTGTTCTCAGCAAATTTACCTCAGCACTTTATTGCAGTTTTGCTGTACAACTACAAGTCAGCACAATTCTCCCGCTATCATATTTGGTACACATTTCGCCAGATTGCTCTAACAGAACTCAACTTGTACTTGTAATGAGGAGTGCGAGGAAAGGGTAAAGCTGTTTTACTGGCGGATGCCTGACCAATGAACAATGCCAGCAGCCAACGTGGGTGCAAAAGAATCATTTGTATGATTAATTGATTATATCACTTTGTTTTTTTGATCTATGTTAAAAAAAGATTTTTGTTAAATATCAATAATTCTACAGAAATGTATTTACCAGTAAAAGAGCAGCAAAGTTGGTTTATTGGCTAGAGTCAGCAATCCAAGAGTAAGTTTTTAGTAATTATCTATACGTTCAAAACTACTGATTTACATTCATACTTTAACACCTTTTTAATGAAAGTAACATTAATAATAATGTTGATGCAATAATTCAATGCATACAAATAGTTAACCATTGTGCATAACTCGTGTTCAGAGTGTTTTATATGTAGATGAGAAATTATTTATGGAATTTATTAGTTTTAAAGTCACACTGCTCAAGAACTAAATATTCATCCTATTTTTTTTTTTTTTGATCAATGACCTATCAAAAACTGTAATGATAATTTTTTTAACATGTTTAATCTCCAGAATATAAAACGTTACAGATTTGTAGTTATATTACACACACACACACACACACACACACACACACACACACACACACACACACACACACACACACACACACACACACACACACACACACACACACACACACACACACACACACACACACAAAAAAAACACAGGTGCAGTAGTTGATTGTCTTCTGACACATTTTTTTGTTGTGCTGATTGAAAGTCTCTTTACATTTCAATAGTAATGTATTTAAATGTATTTTTATGTATTTAATGTATTGATATGTATTTTTATATTCTGGTATAAAAAAATGTTCATCCAATTTAAATTTGTTGGCCCGATAATTCTAATAGTTCTGATAAGTAGCCCAAACTGTCGGTCAACAAATGTAGATTTGTACATCTGCGCATCTGTTTACGCAGATCCACCATTAGAGTGTGCACCCACGTTTACATGCACACAAGGGTGACACACTAAAATCAAATGCTGAACTAAGACTTGAAAACCTGAATCAATATTGGAGTTACTTTTACACGCTGGAGCAAGGATGGCACCAGGGCTGAACAATTTTTTTTAGACAGGTCATATTTTAAAACTATTTTAGTCACGCAAAGCTTATGTAGATTGTGTCATCGATAGCGCAACAAGTTAATCAATAACCCTTGTGTATGATTAAAATGTACTACCCTTTCATTATGTTGGTGACTGTTTTTGCCCCATTGACTTCCATTATAATGACATTTTTAATTGCAAAGACCTAACAGCATATAATCATACATAATTGTTGGTGGTTTTTTTCTGTTGGGAAGAGGTAAAATGTGTAATCTTTACTGTTGTGTTCATCATCAGTTCACCATTAACCCTTTAGATAGGCCTGTGCAAAAAAAGTTTATGTCTTTTAAATGGAGTTCTACGCAGTAAAACAGCGATTACATAGTATGTGTGTGTGTGTAAATACACTTGTATGTTCATTATTATGGAAGTCAATGGGACAAAAATAGCCACGAACATAACGGAACATAACGAAGGGGTAGTAAATCTACCAAGAGTGTATAGCTGAATTTGAAAATTGTCAGCATTTTCTTAAAATAGGTGTCAAAATAAGATTGATCACCTACAACCCTTCCATTTTCTCAAACAGAGAGAATGTTAAGACTTAAAATCACCCCAGAGCGGATGAAAACCTCCCCAACAGCACACAAGGCTCAAGTACATCATAGAAAACACACACTGTTCTGCAAAAGCTTGATATCCAATCATCTAAAGGGAAAAAAATAACAAATCTGAGGGGGGGGGGGGGGGGGAATGTAAAGGAAGGCCAAAAGGGTGGAAAACCCAACACTCGCTGAAGGGCAAGTAAATAAACTCAAACAACGATGATACAGAGTCAGCCAGGCATGACACACAAACCCTTGGGCGAAGTGGAGAATGCACAGTAGTGGCAGCTCTCACAGCGCTTGATTAATATCAAAGACATCTCTGAAGAGTTGAATCACACACTAAGTAAACTTCCATTCAGGAAACAAGACAACCTATAATCTGCTTAGTGACTCACAAATGCATATATGTGCTGTTTTTCCCCCTTTTGTCGCATCAGGAACAAGTGTGGACATGCTAAACCCTTTCTGCCTCCATTCACAAATATGTCCATTTATCAGCCTGAAGAGGCCCAGTCATCAGTGGGAGGGAATCTAAACCCTCTTCAGCTCTCTAAGATTTCAGAAAGGGATTTTCCACCAAAGACTCAAGCTACACAGAGAAATGGGGGATGTTTTATAAATAACAACACGATATGCATATTACCTGCTAGATGTGATATGCTAATCTCTGATGTCTAAGATGCACACCTCAACCTCAGCACCAACAAAAAAACCCCTTCTTCAATCCCAGTTATGTTAATTTATTGAAATTATTTTAAATATTCCATCACCTCTCCACCTTTTACTCCAATCCAATTGTATTTCTTATTTTTTTTTACCTTAATACATCCTTTTCAAACTCAAAAACAAATGATTTAGGGATGTACATTTCATACTACAATAGCAATTACACACAAATACCTCTCATAATTTCATGTACATCTCAAATTGGTCTTTTGTTTTTTAATGTTTACTGTTAGACCTGCTGAATCTATGCTGAACTAGTTTATGTTGTACAGCTTCTTTTTATTATTTAGTGTTTTTTCCTACATCTCCTACATTGTCTTCATTAAAAAGCAAACAAAATGTACTAGACAGGCATGGTAACACAAACACACTAAGAAATTTATGGCTTGCATATGGCAATACTCAAGAACACGGTATTCTCAGATGCTGCTTTGATAACCATGGTTCAAAACAAGTGCATGTTCTTACCTTCTCTGTGTGTGAGATTCCCTCTGGTCTCATCTGATTTCTGGAAGTTTATACTGGCATAGGCACTGAGCTCTTCTATACCTTCAACAGCTCCCAGCTCCACCGGCCGAGACTGGAAAGCATTCCAATCAGGAACATGTTGCTCTCCATTCTGCATTAGATCCAGATCAATGTAGTTCAGGCCGTTCTGGTCATGGTTTGTTAATGTGGGAATTTGGCCTGAAGCGGTTTCCCTTCGTCCGTTGGTTACTGTCGATGCAGATGGAGCGGTAGAAGCAGCAGAGGCCTGATCAGGTCTCAACCACACATTCTCGAAGGAGGCGGAGCTGTGGCGCTTTACATCCCCTGATTGACAGGTGCTCGATGTGTCGACTGACCCTCTGGTCGCTGTGGATGCAAAAGTCTCTGAACTGTGCCGCCGTCGACCCTGTGGGTCAGCACGTATTACTTTAGCGCCCTGGTTTCGTCCGGAAGTGGAGTTAACCCGTGTGAATGCACTCAGACCTGATAAAGGGCTAATCAGAGCTGGTCTTCCAGGAGCGCCGCTTAATGTCGTCACGTCATGATTGGGTGATACAGAACAAGGAGGGGCATCTGCATCTGGCAGGGCCTCGGTCATTAGCATCAATTGTGTGTCAGGAAAGCCAGTGCAGGATGCTAACTGCATGCTGATGTAGTCACGTTCACATATGCTCTCACATGGCAGTGGAGGCGAGGATACAGAGTTTGACGGTGTGATTATGGCATAATCTGAACTGGAAGAGGAAGTCTGCAATTCGGAGCACAGCCGTCTGGCCTGGGATCCCAGCTGCATGTTCATGTACTCAGATGATGAAAGATCCGACGGGGCCTCAGCATCACTTACTGAATAAACAGGTGGGAACAGCGATGCTAAGCTCGCTGAAAATGCCTTGTCGTTGAACTCAATGTTGACATACTCCCCAGGACTTTTAGGCTCAGGAGGGAAGGGGCTCTCACGTGTGCGTGGAAGAGTACTTGCTTTGCTGGCGTCCAGTGACAGCCGTGTTGGACGTGTCAGCCTACCGTTGCCCTCTGACCTTTTGGGTTTGACAGCAGACTGCTGGGAATTGCTTTGACCACCCAAGCTGTCACTGCTTGCTGAAGATGAAGAGGAGTCAGCGTATGCTAATCGACTCGAGCCCAGTGACACTCGAAGCGGGCTCTGATCCTGCTTCCTGTTAGCATGTTTGAATGAGCGGGGCAAAGAGTAGTAAGCATACATAGGCCTGGGAGGATCTTCCACAGGGTTGAAAAAGCAGTCTGGAGGCGTACTTGTTGTTGAGCAACTAGCTGGAGACATGTTTATGTAATCTCCACATGACGACACTTTACCTTCCATACTCTCTACGGAGAGCTTAGGGTTGATGCCATTCGTCCAGATCTTGCCATAGTTTGTTGTGCCATCTGGAGAGCAGCTGCCACTTGGTGACATCATCATGTAACCATTGGAGTCGACATGCGAGTGTTGCCTGGGGTTGATAATTTGCTGTGGTGCAGACACACTTTTTGGACTCATGGGCATGTAGTCACTGCTTTTGGTTGTAGGGGTTGCAGGCGCAACGCCTGGCAGCATGGGCATATAGCCGTCATCTTTGTGATCTGGCCCCCTTTCATCTTTTGCTTGTGATGCATCTGTACCTTCCTCTGGGTATGAATGTGTTGGCATGAATGAGTGCCTATATGTTGATGATGACGATGATGCAGAGCGGCTTCGTGGGTATGTAGGCATCATCACAGTGTATTCCTCTAAAGATGCAGCAGGCGATTGTGAGGGAGTTTTCTGATGGCATGGAGTTGGCGGCGAAGCACCAGAAGAATGAGTTCTTTTCCGAAAACATTTTTCCAACTCAGGCTCCTCTAGTCTTGACGGTGTTCCTCTAGATTGGCTTCGTGACTGGCTCCCGGCACCAGGAAGTGAACCGGGCTTTGCCATGCAGATGTAGTTGTTTATCTCTTCCTCCCTGGCAGGTGGTGTGTGGCCAAGCGAGTCTGGAGTCACGCTACGAAACGAGCTTCGAAAGTCACAGGGGCTGGATCCATATTCATCTGAGGAGATGAATCCGCCATCGCTGGGTGATCCAGATATCGAGGCACTAGAGCGACGTGGAAAGAGGCAGTCAGATGTGGAGCCATGCCCGCTCGTGCTGCTGGAGGACAGGCTGATGGGGCTGATGGCTGAGGGGGAGCACCGTGAGGTGGGCGTGGGTATTGATCTGCTGTGATTGAGTGGCGGGTGAAGTCTGGATCCCCCTCTGTGCCGTTGCGATTGAGGTCGGGCATTGCTCGGGCTGCTTGGACTCCCGTCCACAGATGCCGGCCTGGACATGGTGCCCTCTCCATCACTAGATGCTCTCACTCTAAACGAATGGCTGTGTTTGCCAGGCCTAACAGGAGAAGTGGCCGTCACACTCTCCGCCCGAGAGCGCCTGCCTAAGCCAACTTGACTAGGGGGAGGATTATTGTGATGATGCCGCCTGACAGGCACTGAGATGGGGTTTGAGCAGTTAGAAGATGACTGGCTTTTGCTGCGGGGTCTGAACTCCTCACTCATGGCTTTCATGGCTTCTAATATAGTTTCATGCATGTTCTGAGCCACAACAGAGTCATCCACTTGCATCCAAAACTCCCCGGGGCCTGTCACAGCAGATCGGCCGACTTCAATAAAAAAGAAATTTTCAGAGTGACCACATCTCCTAATGTTCATCAACTGCAAAACCACAGCTGCTGCATCCGAATTCAGTTTCACAAAGCTGATAGTCTTATTGGTGAGGCATAATCTGTAAACTCCAATCAAGTTCTTTGTGTGACCCAGACCCTTTGGTTTCAATATAACTTGCCAAACCTCTTTAAAGGCAGGTCCCGGCGTGGCTTCCCCGTAATTATCCTCGCCAACTCCACGGCCCGGGGCAGTTTCGTGGACCTTACCTCTGTTATGGAGATCAACCAGGGCTTCATACCATGACTCTTGCTCGATCTCGCTGTCAGCAGCGATAGCAAAGTACTCATCCTTGGTATAAAGCGCGACGAGATGTTTGTTTTTTGAATCCGCTCTTTTGTTGATGTTAAAGCAGCTCTCCAGCGGAATGGATCTTTTCGGCGCTCCAGACTTGTGTCTCCACTTCTTCTCGTTTTCATAGTACTCCAGTCGGGACGGTCCGGAGGCGCTCGCCGCCCTCAGTACAAAAAACCTTTTGTGCATGCTTTTGGGTTTCCTTAAATAACCCACCTTTTTCACGTCTGAAAAACATCCTTGCTCCGTAGTCGGGCTTGCCATGGTATATATATAAAAATATTTACAGAAAAATTGCAGGATCGGAAGTCAAAGCGTTACGTGTGCAATCTTCACCAAACGTGAACGCCGACACAAAAACGTTTCCATTTAGTAAAAATTGAGGAAAAATAACACTAAAACAAGTCACTTTTGTGCACTCCGACACGAGCTTCAGTTATAACAGTTCATTGATACCGTAGCACACTTGGATTATCGTCAGCAGCATTACATTGTTAAAACTAACTTTAAATAATCCATCGGACATCTTCAAAGAATATTGCAAGTACCGGAAAGCACCAAGTTTGTGATGTATAAAAATACAAAACAGTGATATTTACAAAACAGCGTCCTTTTCAGTCCAGAGATCCGAATGCATTATCAAAACAAGCGCAGTCAGCAGCGCACGACCCCGTTTACCCCGGAGATCAAAGCGCTGTCTGCAAAAATCCCAAAAGTGCAATTAAACAAAGCACGAGCGCGGAGTTTGCATCTCAGCGTTATTTAACAACGGAGATGTACCGAGTCCGTTTAAACCGCTGCATAAGTTCCTCCGAAAGTCGCTGAGTTTTCTTATTTTGCGAAGCCGTACCAGACCAAAACAAGCCACCGCTCGTGTGTGTTTGTATGGAGGAGTTGAGACTGGGGGGGTTGCAGCCTAGCTTGTTACGATGCAACCAATAATCCCGCCTATCGAGAAGCTGAACTCGCTGATTGGCCGGATCAAATGTCCATCATCCTGAGAGACATCTGATTCAAAAGTAACAGTGGGGATTTTGACTCATTCCAGTGACTCGAATCTTTTTGAACTAGTTGCTCTAAAAAGATTTATTTGCACTGATTGATTCAATAAAAGCGAATCCTTTGGGATAGACACGTAAGAGAACGAGTCGACTCATTCGCCAGCTAAATGAAGTTTTATTTAGAGGCGGTGTTGAAAAGACACCATGTAACTATGCGCTGCAGATATTTATAACCACACAATTGTAAAATGGGAAGTCATACTTTATAGCGGTCATGTTACTGTCTATTTACATGCATAAATATAGTGGCAAATGAACAATATGTACTTGTGTGTGTAATTGCATTGCTGAGGTGTTTTGAAGTGGACGTTTTAAGAGTACTGTGAGGATTAATTATGGCTGGATAATGTGTGTAGCATGTACAGTGTTGCACTATTAGAAGTCTATAGCTTGTTTTCAGCTGTCTGAGAATAGCATTTTCTATCTGGATTATGTAAGACAGAACTTAAATGAACAGCTATCTATCTATCTATCTATCTATCTATCTATCTATCTATCTATCTATCTATCTATCTGTCTGTCTGTCTGTCTGTCTGTCTGTCTGTCTGTCTGTCTGTCTGTCTGTCTGTCTGTCTGTCTGTCTATATGCAAATTTAATGATAACTGAAAAACCGAATCTCTATAGTCTGGCATTTAACACAATAAGAGTTGTTATCCTATTTTATTTAATTTTATTATTTAACTTTATTATGATATGCTATCTCAAAATATTTCTAAATGACTTTACTTTTATTATTAACTTTTATGATTACCTATTTACAGTTTTTCTCAGTCTCTTTTTTTTTTGCATTTCTCACAACATTATTTACATTTGCACAACAGTCAATGCATTTCTCAGAACAATTAGTACAAACTGCAAAACCTAGTTGATAACCTGCAAAAGCATGCCACATGCTCACAATGGATAGTTCATTCCTCAAAAGCAAGTATTGATGCCAATGAAAGTCTTAGTGTCATCAAGATGAAAAGTCCTGACATCATTGTTTATGAACAAGATAGTCAAATGGCTTTGTCATGTTTCATTATGACCGTTTACTCTGGACATTTTTTTCTAATGCAAAAACAATTTGGTGACACTTCCTGAAAATGCTCAAGACAGCACTTTCTACCATTTGCACAACCATTTGAAAACTACAGTAAAACTACACATCGTCACTGCATTAAGTGAGGTATCTGAGTACAAGACACTGAATATGTATGTTTCACATTTTTACTGCATTTGCTCTTTGCAATTATCATTTATTCACAGTATTGTGCAAAAGAATAAATACACCCTTATTTACAACAAACATAAGCCTCCTTTGGGTAGAGCTGTGCACAGCAAAACAATATTGCAGTAAATACTAAAACTAAACCTACAAACATGTACAGGTCTTTAAATCATTCATCAAATTGTTCAATTAAAATGTTTCAAAAAATTTACATTTGACAGATTTTGACAACTAGTTCAACATTTTTGTATGTAATGACTCAAGTAATGAAATGAGGACTATACGTTTTATATGGAATGACTGTTCAGCAATCAGAAGTTTAGTTTGCTTTGACTGACATGACATAAGCAAATGATAATGTTATAAATAGTGTTGTGAGAAATGCACCAAAGCCACTGAGAAAAACTGTAAATGAACATCTCTCTCTCTCTCTCTCTCTCTGTCTGTCTCTCTGTCTACTTAATTGCAGGATCTCAGTGTAAATGTAATGAAAACTGAAAAACTCTACAGTAGGGTGTTTAACAAGAGCTGTTGTCCTATATAATTCAATATTATTATTTAATTTATAATTATTTTTTATTTTATGCTATCTCAAAATATTTCAAATTGTTTATTTTTTTAATTATTCTCATGATTTTTTTAAGCTCATGCCTTTAAAGCACTTTGATTAACACTTGTTTATAAAAAAAGTGCTTTATAAATACATTCATTAATTTAATTCATTAAACTGGAGCAAACCCACACGAACGCAGGGAGAACATGCAAACTCCAAAAAGAAACCCACAAACGCCAACTGACCCAGCCGAGGCTCAAACCTGAGACCCAGCGATCTTCTTGCTGTGAGGCGACAGCACTACCTACTGTGCCACTGCGTCGTCTAAATACATTTTGATTTGATTTAAAACAGATTAGGACCATTTGGAGTTTATAAATCATGATTTACATTCAGCAAACAAAACTTAGATTCCTTAAACCAAACCTTAAACTTTAAACTTAAATTAGTGCATTTTTATAACCAGATAGCCTATTAGACTGTAGTTGCCTGTAGGAGTTAGAATATTTATTTATTCTTTAATAATTTCCAAGGGAGTATTGAGTACATTATATTATACACAGGGGACGGGGGTGGGGCTATAGTGATGTTTTTCTGTAGATTGAGCTACTGTACCAATTTCTGCATTCACTGAGAAATGCTGCCACCTCCTGTAAGCCATTGGAATTGACAATTGAACTCACACACATACAAATAAATCCTTGCAAAAGCCATGATTTAGAACTGTTTTGCTGCTCCATTGATTGCAGTTTGCTATCATCCTCAACAGAAAATAAATTAAGACATCCTAAGAAGTATATTGCTGGGCTGAATTTAACTTTTGAAAAGAGGACCAAAACTGTCAATAATAATGAAAAAAAAATTGTGTAATTAAACCAAACCGTAGTGCCGTGAACTGAACATGAGATAAAGCTTTTAACAGATTTCACACGCTTTAGTTTTAGCGCATCACATTACAGGTCAATCGGTTCGAGTCACTTCTAGAAAAAACTACAAACCTTCGGAGCGATGAGATCACGCGACCAGAAGTCCTCGTTGCATCACTTCCGTGTTTACAGCCTGACGAAATATGGTTGAAACGAAAGTGGAATCTGACGTGTCCTACTGTTGATCGCTAATATTAGGGGCTCAGGGATCGTTCACGATACATTTATACCGCAACGCAAGAAAGTTTAACAACTCCTTTAGCCTTTGAAACAGAATCCGACATTCAGACAGTACGGTGAGTTATGCACAGTAGTTTTGTCTTTGTAGCCTTGTACATTTACACTACTTTTATGGTCCAATGTATGTAGATTAAATGTTTGATATTAGCCAGAATATTGTCTGGGAAATAGTTTAGTAAAGTTAACCCACATTAAAACAAGTTGATTATCTGTTAATATTATAATTCAACGTGATAATTCATAGTTTCTGAAGTAATATAACAAATACTCTTAAGTTTTCTACAACTAACGTTACTGGATAACGTTATTCTACACCAGTTTACTGTGGTAAAACCAAAGTGTACTACTGTATTAGTTCCCTATACTTAATAATACAAAATGCTGTACATTTTTTTCTATAATGTATACAGTATTACAGTTTATTATGTATAATTAAAAAAACTATAGTATTGACTATAAATTACTATAGTGTTTTTCATGCAGGATGAAGAGATTTAATCAAAGATTGTCAAAGGAGAAAAAAGATATAATAATAATCTTTAAATAATTTAAGAAAGAGATGATACTTAAATTTAAATAATATTTTATAAATGTCTGTGCGCTACTTACTATGACTACATGATGATTGTAAGTGAAACATAATAGATCAAATGTTTTAATAACCTGAAATGGCCAAACTCTGATTATTTTGAATGTAGGCAAAATACATAACATTAAAGCTTAAGTTAAAGCAAAAGATTTGTATTGTGACTTTGCTTCGAGGCACAGTCGAAATCAGAATTATTAGCCCCTGTTTATTTTTTTCCACAATTTCTGTTTAACATAGAGAAGATTCTTTCAGCACATTTCTAAGCATAATAGTTTTAATAACTCATTTTTTAATAACTGATTTATTTTACCTTTGCCATGATGACGGTGAATAATATTTGACTAGATATTTTTCAAGACACTTCTTTACAGCTTAAAGGGACATTTAAAGGCTTAACTAGGTTAATTAAGTTAACTAGGCAGGTTAGGGTAATAAGGCAAGTTATTGTATAACAATGGTTTGTTCTGAAGACTATCAAGAATAAATATAGCTTAAAGGGGCGAATAATTTTGACCTCAAAATGTGTAATTAAAAAATTAAAAACTTCTTTTATTCTAGCCGAAATAAAACACATAAGACTTTCTCCAAAAGAAAAAATAGTATCGGACTTACTGTGAAAATTTCCTTGCTCTGTTAAACATCATTTGGGAAATATTTAAAAAAGAAAAAAAAAATTAAAGGGGGGTTAATAATTCTGACTTCAACTATTTTTATGGAATTATATTCCAAAAAGTGTTTCAATAAAATTGACCTATAAATCAAATTCACCTATACCAGATATCTTCGTTGATGTAAAGTTGGTTTTGTATTCACACATTTGGACTATCTCCTTAGTATAATAAATGGCGATAGCACGATCGCCTCAAAGAAAGAAGTTTGCTGGTTTGAGCCCCGGCTGAGTCAGTTGGCATTTTTGTGAGTTTCATGTTCTCCCGGAGGGTTTCCCTCAGGTGCTCTGGTTTCCCCCACAGGTTATCTGAATAAACTAAATTGGCCGTAGTGTATGTGTGTGAAAAAGTATGTATGGGTATTTCCCAGTACTAGGTTGCACCTGGAAAGGCATCCACTGTGTAAAACATATGCTGGATAAGTTGGCGGTTCATTCTGCTGTGGTGACCCCTGACTAATAAAGGGACTGAGCTGAAAAGAAAATGAATGAATGATATTAGCAGCCAATGACTCAAAAGTACATTGTGTTTAGTGAAATAAATAGTGCTGATGTTGATTTGAAGTCAGACTTGCATGTAATTTCATCGAATATTCAAAGTTGCACAGTAAACAATATAGTAAGCATGTGACAAGTTGTCACTAAACAAATGTGCGAATAGAAAAACAACTTTACCTCAATGAAATCTTCTAAGATGCTTTTATCCAATCAGTCAGACCCAATCAGGGGCATCTAGAATGGAAATATTACACAAAATCGTCTTGTTGTTGTCACATCAATAATGTCTCATATGATTTATAGAATGATGTGCATATAATTAAATTTATTCCTAATATGGTTAAAATAACAATAATGAACATTCTTTCAATATACAGTGCTCCAGTGCTGAGTGTATGAAGATGCATTTGTGTGTGCTAATACTCCACTGTATGCCTTTTAGATGCGTAACAGACAAAGAGGAACCAACCTCGGCCTTCTCCTTCTGGCCTCTCAAGTTTTCCAGCTGGGAATAGACAACATTCC